TTCCTGCCTGGGCAGCAAGACCTCATCTCTACAATAAATAAAAAAATCAGCTGGGCGTGGTGGCGCATGCCTGTAATTCCGGCTACTCGGAAGGCTGAGGCGGAAGGATCACCGAAGCCCAGCAGGCTGAGGCTGCGGTGGCTGGGAGCGGCCACTGCACTCCAGTCTGGGTGACAGAGTGAGACTCCAACTCAAAAAAAAAAAAAAATCTTTAAAAGTAACAAGTATATTGGCATTAAGCTTAATATTTTGTTACCATGTTTTATTAAACAATTTTGTATACAATGTGTTTGAGACATCTGAACCAGTGGAAGTAAGCTTAAAGTACATTTGATTCTAAATTATCAAGCTAGTAGATAATGATAATGACAAAAATCATTTTTTAAAAAGATATGCCCTAAACCATTAATATTCGGTTTTGAAGTACATGTATATATAAATCCTCCAATGAATTTGTTTTGTGTATCTGCATGATTGCAGATGTGTGACAGACAGGGATTTTACAAATTCATCCTTTCTCAGACAAAATGATGCAATCACACTGTGCAGTTCCAAATCAAACAAAGTGGTGATTTTTCTTGGCTTCCCTCCTAATCCAGGGTGGAAATACTGCAACCTCTCATACAAACATAAATAGCACAGTACTATTTGAAAACAGACATCAGCATTGTTATGGGATTAACTTTTAATCACATCATATTTGCCCACGTCAACAGTGAGGTAAGTGGCATTAGAAGCGCCAGTACAATGCTACACAGGAAGGTTTAAAAAAATTTTAACTAAAATTCATAGCTTTAGCATAACGCTAATTCGTGTAGGAATCAAGCCACTATGCTAATACAGGTTGAGCATCCCTAATCCAAAAATATGAAATCCAAAATGGTCCAAAATCCAAAACTTTTTGAGCACTCACATGAGTGGAAAATTCCATACCATAAGTACTTAACACAAACACTGCTTCATGTATAAGCTTATTTAAAATACTACATAAGATTACCCTCAGGCTATGTATATAAGGTGTATATGAAACAAAAAAACTTCACATTTAGACCTAGGTCCCATCCCCAAGGTATCACACTATGTACATGCAAATATTCTAAAATCCAAAAACCATCAGAAATCCAGAACAAAAATAGTCCTATATATTCTAGATAAGGGACACTCAGCCTGTACTCATCTGTATTACTACTTTACATGCATATCAAATTAGATAACTTTATATTTGTCATTTTTAATAGATTTCATAATTTTTTTTTCTTCTCTGAGATTATTTTCTAATCTCCCTCTCTCTCTTTCTTTCAGTTTTTAGAGACAAGATTCAAGTCTGCACCTAGACTGGAGTGCAGTGACACAGTCACAGCTCCTGGCTCAAGCAATTCTCCTGTCTCAGTCTCGTGAGTAGCTGGGATTACAGACACAAGATACCTTGCCCCGCTAATTCATATATATATTTGTTGTTGTTGTTGTTGTCGTCAGGGGCATGCGGGGATCTTACTATGTTGCCAGGTTAGTCTCGAATTCCTGGCCTCTAATGATCCTTTTGCCTTGGCCTCCTAAAGCACTAGGACTACAGATTTGTTCTACCATGCCTAGACAAAACAGAGCTACTTTCCATCTCAAAGTGTTGCCATCAGAATCAAAGAAGTAATATATTCAAAGCATCTGATATATAGTAGCTGATCAAAAAATCAGTTCTATTTCCACTTTGTCACACATGTACAAGTTAAAGTGTAAAATCTAATTTAATAATTTATTTAATTTATTAAATAATGAAATATTGGGTCCCAAGTATGTACCAGACATATTCTACACACACAGAATGGGTGTTCTAAAAACAAACAAAGAAACAAAAACTGTCCTACCCTACCAAATGTCAAGATTTAATATAAACCTATAGTAATTAAAACATTATAGGATTGTTATAGATACTGACAAACAGATGAAAGTTTCAAAACACAAAACCCAGAAATGGAGCTATAGTTAAAGCAGATGTTATATAAGAGAAGTTTCATTACAGATCAATAGAGAAAAATAGACTATTCAAGAAATGCCTTTCCACCCAAGCACCATGGTTCACGCCCGTAATCCTAGAGCTTTGGGAGGCCAGGAGTTTGAGACCAGTCTAGGTAACAGAGTGAGACCTCTTCTCCACAATAAATTTTTAAAAATTAGCCAGGTGTGGTGGCACGTGCCTGTAGCTCCTAGCTACTGGGAAGGCTGAAGCTGAAGGACTGCTTGAGCCCAGGAGTTCAAGGTTACAGTGAGCTAGGATCATGCCACTGCACTTCAGTCTGGATGGCAGAGAAAGACCCTGAGGAAAGGAAAGGAGAAAGAAAAGAAAAGGCTTTTCATATAAAAAAATGAAACTATATTGCCATTTTTTTTTTAGAAAGTAGGATTTATTGAGAGGACAGAAAAACTCCCACAGTGGGAGGGGACCTGAAGGGGTTGCCCTCATTTTTTTTTTTAAAGTTGGAGTCTTTTTCTGTTACCCCCAGCTAGAGTGCAGTAGCATACTCACAGCTACCGCAGCCTTGACCTGCTGGGCTCAGGAGATCTTTCCACTTCAGCATTCCAAGTAGTTGGAACTACAGGTGTGTGCCACCATGTCTGGCTAATTTTTTTATTTACTGTAGACATGAGGTCTCACCAAGTTGCCCAGGCTGGTCTTGAACCCTTGGGTTCAGGAAATCTTCTCGCCTCCGCTTCCCAAAGTGCTGGGACTACAGGTGTGAGTCACTGCATTCTTTCCCTATTTCATTTGATCCTCACAAAGAATTCCAAGCTGATAAAAGACCAAACTTACACAAATAAAACTTTAAAATTATTAAAAGAAACTGTTTTTTAAAAAGTATAATTTTGACTGGGTGCAATAGCTCATGCCTATAATCCTAGCACTTTAGAAGACCAAGGCTGGAGGATCCTTGAGCCCAAGAGCTAGAGACCAGCCTGGGCAACACAGCAAGACCCCCATCTCTACAAAAAATATATTTAAACAAAAAAAAATTCACCGGACATAGTGACACATGCCTGTAGTCCCAGCTACTCAGGTGGCTGAGGCAGGAGGATCACCTGAACCCAGGAGGTCAAGGCTGTGGTGAGCCATCACTGGGCCACTACACTTCAGCCTAGACAACAGTGAGACTCCTACTTAAAACAAAAACAAAAGAAAATTAAAGAAAATTTATGATTTTAGGATCAACAAAAATGTATAAACAAAAACAGAAGACAAAAGATTTATATCTGACAAAATAAAATGTAAAAATGCCATAAACAAAAAAGTACCACAAAGATAAAGGGTTAGCAATATAGGGGAAAACTATAACATATAAATCATATAAATAACAAAAAGGAAAATGAGAAACAGACTGAGTTCAGTGGCTCAGCCTGAAGCCCAGCACCTTGGGAGGCAGAGGTAAGTGGATTTTCTGAACCTCTGGGTTTGAGACCAGCCCAGGCAATTTGGCAAGACGTCATCTCCACAGTAAACAAAAATTAGCCAGGTATGGTAGCACACACCTATAGTTCCGGCTACTTGGAAGGCTGAGGCAGAAGGATCACCAGAGCCCAGCAAGTTTACGCTGGGATGGCCATGAGCATACCACTACACTCCAGCCTGGACAACAGAGTGAGACTACAACTCAAAAAAAAAAAAAAAAAAGAAGAAAGAAAATGAGAAACAGAATAATCAGCAGAAAAAATATACATAAATGACCAATACACACATGAAAAAAACACTCAATTTCACTTATAATCAGGGAAAATATGTAAATTTTTAAAATGAGAAACCATTTTGAATTGACCAAAACTTTCAAGGCGTGACACTACTGATTGAGTACAGGTGAGCACACAGCAGATTGGACACCAGCAGTTACTGCCAGTGAAGGAAGACTATGACTGCCACGTTGGAGACTCTTCAGCCATGACGTAACAAAACCAAACACACATGTTCTTTATGACCCAATAATCTCACTTGTCACACATGCTCACTGGATGTCCACATCAGCAAAGTGTATGATAGTAAAAGAAATAAAAAAGCCTGGCAATAACCTCAACAATTTGGGAAATTAATACAGAGTTATCGAGTCATGTGACAGAATACCATATAGCAGTTCAAAGAAATGCATATATGCAAATGTACATACATGTATGAACTTGGATAGACCTCAAAACAAGTGAAATTTATAATTCTGCAACATTCTATATTATACACAAAATATTGTACATACAGGTTTATGAATAATATATTAAGAAAATTTTAAATGTACATAAAACTTAGACACATTAAGTTCACAGTTGCTGCTGTTGTTGAGATTGGAAAGGCAAAAATGATGTCTTTATAAGTTATTCATTTAAAAAAATAAAATATAATATTAACAACTGCCAATTCTGAGTGTCAGGTGGATGTTTGTCATATTATTCTCAATACTTTGATGAATTTTGATTTGAAAAAAAACCTAATGAAGGTTATCATTAAGATCATAATTCAACTTTCTTTTCACTTATTGAAACACCTATGAAAAATAATGTGATTTCAACATGCTCAAAATACAAGACAAACAATAGGATAAATTCCAGGTTATATAAATTTGCTGATAAAGTCTACAAAAAGTAGAATAAAATGTGCCTCAGAAATGAAGTAAAGAATTTTTATTTTGAAACATCTTCCATAAATCACTAAATTGAATGTCTTATCCTTCATTTGCATACTTTCGATAACAATGTTTTCAAAACTTTAAACCCTGAAAAAATGAGAATACCAGGTCCTAAAATAAACCAACTAACCTGTATGTGTTCTTCGGTGTCTCTGCAGCTCATCACTCCTTGTGAATCTTTTGCCGCAAAACATCCAGTTGCATACAAAAGGCCTTTCTCCAGTATGCCAGCGAAGATGTGCTCGCAGGTGAGATGTTTTGCCATAAACTTTTCCACATCCTTCAATATGACAAATATGCTGTTTCTTTTTTCCTGGTTCATTACTGCCTCTGACAAAAACAGAAAATATAAGTTACACTCCCAAACATTAGGTTTATAAGTATAAAAAAATTTTAAAGAATCAAGTTAATTAAATAATGCTTTTCTGAATAAGTTTGATTATGATGCCATAATTTTAGATAAAAACAGAAAATTTCAATTAAAGAAAAAATAAAATAGGTCTGTATACTAAATACACAACTGCTATGAAAATTTGTCAGTCTCAGAGTTGATGCTCTATGATGGACCTCATGTTCCTTCCATAGTGAACTCTCCTCTTGAAGAAAAAAAAAATCTCTTTAAGTTTTTCAAGACATTTGAAAAATCTCTAAAGTTCCAAAAGAATTGCTAACTCCAATCAAAAGTATAAGGTCCAGCAGAATAGCATGACGAGTTCCATGGACCTGATTCTCAGTGAAACTGGTGAAAATTATTAAAAACAAAACCAAGAAAAAAAATAACAAAGACAAAGAAACTAAAACCAAAACCACCACCTTAAAGTCTGTGGAAAAGGTCCTAGGAACAAATAACAGGCAATAAGGAAACATTTATTCAAGAAAATCTCGAGGACCTTGAACAATTATAATACTAAAAGAAAGGGATTGGCAGTAGTGGGAAACTGTCAGGGACTGGGGATGGTGGGATTGGCAATTGAGGGAAACTGCTAGAGGAGGGAGGGGCACACCTCACCAAAAAGAATACCTGCATAATCAATGTTTGCATACCTAATCCTGAATTGTAGCCCACATCTTTACAATAAAAGAAGAAAAAAGAAAGTCTCATAAAACTCAATATGAACAGAGTCTGTGATGTTTGAACCAGGACTCACTCTTTTCTTTCTCCCTCCCACCTTTACAACAAAGAAACATTAGAGACTGGTACAGCCAAGAATAGGATTTCCATTCCTCCCACCTCCTAGTCATAGCCCTCTGTCATCAGAAGGGACAGGACATCTTCATTTCTCATTCTAGCCCAGGCTATCTGTTGCTGAAGCTAAGTTCCAGGTAAGTGGAGCTGAAACTCAACCCTCAGTCGTGGGACGTAGAATCTACCTTGGATGTGGTGTGATGAAAAAGCTGAGGTCCAGATTGCCTTTGACCTGGCCTATTCATGGTTCATAAACTGGAGGTTCTAAGCCAGGAGAGGCAAGCTGAGAAGAAATGAGGCTTTTGCTGTCCCTGTCACCAAGCACTCAGCTCCTAAGGCAGGGGTATCACTCAAAGAGAAATGTCCCATTGTCGCAACTCCCAGCCATGTCTCAGAAATTTTGGCCAGAGGAAGAAGCACACCAAAAAACACAGAGCTCCAAATCTCTTCTCAAAGGAACTGAATTCATTTGCAACAGAGTGTAAGAAGTTCAAGTCTAAGGGTGCTCTCAAAAAAAAAAAAGTAGAATTGTTTCAAAAAGCAATTGGGAGGAGACTTATAGATTCATAGGCAATAGAGGCTAAATTGTAGGCTGACAAGTTTGTCAGAAAGAAGGAAATAGACAGCTGGGAGAAGCCTTTCTGGAGTCAAATGTCAAAAATGTCAAACACTGAGAAACACTGTTAAACTTTTCTTAGAAAAGTTTAATAAAATTAACAAACTTTTAGCTAGACTGATGAGAGAGAGAGAGAGAGACATTGCACGAGTGCAAGAGGGTACGCACATATAAAGCAGATTTGGCCAGATGTGGTAACTCATGCCTGTAACCCCGGCACTTTGGGAGGCTGAGGCAAAAGAATTTCTTGAAGTCAGGAGTTTGAGACCACCTGAGCAACATAGTAAGAAGACTCTATCTCTACATTAAAACTAAAAAGAACAAAAAAAAAAAAATCAGAAATTAAAGAGGAGAGACATCAGTACCGATCATATAGAAGCGAAAAAGATCATAAAGAAAATGATGAACAATTCTATGCAATTACTTAAATAACACAGATGAGATGGACAAATTCCTAGAAAGACACAAAATACCAAAACTGATTCAAGAACAATGAGGCAATTAGAATAACTCTATAACAAGAGATTGAATCAGTAATTAAAACTACTCATAAAAAAAGCCTAGGACAGAAAGCTTCGGGGATGAATTCCACAAAACATTTAAAGGATTAATACCAGTTCTTTAAAACTCTTTCAAAAATAAAACTGAAGGAAACACCACCCAACTCATTCTATGAGGTTAGTATTACCATTACCAAAATCAGGTAAAGACATAACAAAGAAAGAAAACCACAGACCAAGATCTTAGAAGTGTGGATGCAAAAATCCTCAACAAAATACTTACTAACTGAATCTCATAACATTACATAAAATTATACACTATGACAAAGTTGAATTTATTCCAGGAATACAAAAGTGCATTAATACCTGGCAATCAATTAAAGTAACATACTATATTATATTTGTACAATAAAAAAATAAAAACCACATGATAATCTCAACAAATGCACAAAGGCATTTTATACAATCCAATATCCTTTCATGATAAAAATACTCAATAAAAATAGGAATAGAAGGGAGCTCCCTTAACTTGATTAAGGGCCCCAGGGCTAACATCATACTTAATGGTGAAAGACAATGCTTTTCCCCCAAGATCATAAACAAAGCAGGATGAGTGTTGTCAATTCTATTCAACACTGTATTGGAGGGCAAGTAGGCAAGAAAAAGAAATAGAACTCCAGAGCAGAAAGGAAAGAGTAAAACTATCTGTATTCACAGATGTCATGACCACATATAAAAATCCTAAGAAATCCTCTTTAAAAACTATTCGAACTAATGTTCTACAAAAGTTGTAAAATATAAGAATATATAAAAGTATTTCTATATATTTGCAATAAATAATTAAAAAACAATTCCATTTACAATCACATCAAAAAGAATAAAATTGGAATACATTTAACAAAAATGCAAAATTTATACTAAGAAAACCACAAAACATTGATGAAACAAAAAAGGGAAGATCTAAATAAAAAGGAAAACATCCTATGTACATGGATCAAAAGACATAATATTGTTAAGTTGGCAATAGTCCCCAAATGGATCTACAAACTCAATGCAATTCACATCAGAATATCATCTGGCTTCTTTGTAAAAACTGACAAGCTGATTCTAGTGGAATTGCAAGTGTGTGCCTAAATAGCTAATACAATTTTGAGGAATAACTAAGTTGAAGGACTCACATTTCTCAATTTCGAACATTATTACAAAGCCAAAGTAATCAAGACAGTGTGGTGCTGGCAAAAAGACAGGCATATAAGTCAATGAAAGAGTTGAAAGTCCAGAATAAGCCCATGTGTCTAGGTCAATTGATTTTTGACACAGGAACTAAGACCATTCAATGGAGAAAGAATAGCCTTTTCAACAAATGGTGATAAATGTACCCTTACTTAACACCATATACAAAAATTGATCAAAGAGCTAAATGCAAGAGCAAGAACTATTAAATTCTATTTAAAAAAAAAGAAAGAAAAAAACTCGGAGTCTTCATGACCTCAGATTTGGCAATGGATTCCTAGATCTAACACCAAAGCAAAAGCAACAAAGAAAAATGGGGAAAAAAAATGGACTTCAAAATTAAAAATTTCTGTGCCTCAAACAACATTATCAAGAAAAGTATACAAACAATCCACATAATGGGAGACAATAATTGCAAATCATGCAGCTGATAGGAACTCATATCTAAAATATATAAAGATAAAATTAAATAATTAAAAAGACAAATAATACAATTAAAAATGGACGAGGAATCTAAATAAACATTTCTCCAAAGATAAACAAATGGTCAATAAGCTCATAAAAAGATGCTCAATATCATTAGTCTTCAGGAAAGTAAATCAAAACCACACTGGGATTACCACTTCAGATCCACTGGGATACCTAAATTCAAAAAGTCAGGTAATGCCAAGTACTGGCAATGATATAGAGGAACTGGAATCCTCAAACACTGGTGGAAATGCAAAATGGTGTGACCACTTTGGAAACGGTGTGGCAGTTCCCCAAATGGTTAAATAGAGAGTTACCATATGACTCAGAAGTTCCATTTCTAAGTATACAAATGCAAGAGAAATGAAGAAATATCCATACAAACACTTTTGTTGTTGTTGTTCTTATTGTTTTGAGTCAGAGTCTCACTCTGTTGCCCAGGCTAGAGTGCAGTGGCATGCTCATGGCTACCACAGCCTCGACCTGCTGGGCTCAGGTGATCCACCTGCCTCAGACTTCCAAGTAGCTGGAGCCACAGGTGTGTGCCACAACGTCCAGCTAATTTTTAAAAATTTATTGTAGAGATAGGGTCTCGCCAAGTTGCCCAGGATGGTCTTAAACCCGTGGGCTCAGGCAATCTTCTCACTTCCGCCTCCCAGTGTGCTGGAATTACAGGCATGAACCACCATGCCCGGCCCACACAAACACTTCTACATAAATGTTTATAGCACTATTATTCACAATGGTCAATGGGTGGAAAAAACTCAAATGTTCACTAAGTGACAACATAAAATATTGTATATGCATACAATGGAATATTATTCATCTATAAAAAGGAACGAAGTACTGAGCATGCTATAATAACCTTGGCAACACACTGAACCTTGGCCGCACACTGCTAAATGAAGGAAGCCAGTCAAGAAACATCATAGACTACAGGATTCCATTTATATAAATTGTCTCGAATAGGCAAATGTATAAAGATGGAAATTAGTTTAGTGGTTGTCTAGGGTGGAAGGTTAAGTAGATGACAGGACAATACCAAAAAGATACAGGATTTCTCCTGTGGATGACAAAAACGTTCTAAAATTGATTGTGGTCATGGTATACAACTCTGTGACTATATTTTAAAAAACACTGAATTATACACTTTAAATGAGTGAACTGTATGGTGAGTGAGTTTTATATTAATAAAAGCATGCAAAACTTTTATATATGAAAAAAGGAAAACTACTTTTAAAAAGTGTTAAGGTCCAAGGCAGAAGACCACTCAAATTCCATCCCTAAAATAGCCCAACTTGAGACCCTGCATAACATTATTATCTCAACTGGGTTTCAAACATAGTGAGGTTCTAGTGACCAAAGTATCCAGCCAATGACTTGGTTTTAACTATCATTTTATGCCTTCCAGAGAGATAGAGTTGAAAATAGAGCATTTACCTTCCTTCTCCTTCCCTACAATTAGGACAGGAACAGGCAACTCTTCGAAGCCTCTTGCCAGGTTGCACCTCTTGATCAGAAGTTTGCTGGCCCTGCTGCAAATGCACTTGTGTGAGTTGGTCAGGACTAACAGCACCTATCGTTGCATTAGCAATTCCTCCAACTGCTACAGTTACAGGAGCTATAGTAGCTTGCTGGACTTTTACTCCATCTTGTCCTTGCTGTTGACCTAAAAAGGAAGAAAAAAGAGTATTATAATATTTTCTATTCCCAAAGAAAGAATTTTAAAATTCCATGTGGTAATTTTAAAGCTAACACATCTGTACTAATAATCTGTGTAAAGTACCAAAAGCAAAGTGGTTAATGGCTCATACTATGCCAATTTCCCTAAAATGCAATGGTCTCACTTTAGTAGCTCAGGTTGCCTCTTTATCTAGATGATGGGACTATACATAAATCATTAAACCAACCCTCTTTGTGGCTTAATTTCTCTCTCCATCTATAAAATGAAGATAATAATACTTGTCACCTACCTACCTCACTGAAATAGTGTGAGGATCATGAGACATTTGAAAAGCACTTTGAGATCCTCAGATGAAAGATGCTATAATAAACACAAAGTGCTATTACCATTTCCACAGTAAGCAACATATCTCATTCACATCAAGAAAATACAGGTGTGGAAAGTCACTAAACACAGGATTACATTTTATGGATATTTCTCATTTCTAAATAGTTTACGTAAACATCTTTTATTGATTAGCTATTTTTTAAGTATTCATGTAAAATGTTTCTGTAAATACAAAAACACTCATGATTATTACATACTATCACCATAATCATAAAAAAAGACATTTACAATATTATTACTTCATTCACTCTTCATCTTTCAAGTTAACTTGGGTTTTTCACTTCAAGAAAAATATGACAAACAATGCATAATATGAACAAAAGTATCTATTTATATAGCTTAAGTTGTTCCTGCAATATAATGCCTTATATTACCTTTCACATGAGTTCTACATTATTTCCACAAGATGTGGGAATGGCAAGTATGTGAATGGACTGAAAAGAAAGCATCAACTTATGAAGGAATGTTCCCACCTCAGAGAGTTGACTTAAGGATTAAATAAGTTAATTTTTTACAAATACTTTACTACAGTGCCTGGCAGAGAGTTGTTCATTACATGTGAGCTATTATTACTATTAGTCTCTCTTGAGTTGGGTGGCAATACAAGAATAAAATATGCTGCCAGAAATAAACATGTGGGTCCTGGGTGTAAAATAAAAAGGTTTATCTTAAAGCTGCACATGTAGTGCTTTAAACATATGGAACAACTAAGAAAAGACAATAAAAATTGCCAAGTGAGAAAACAGCACACATTTGCTAAACAAAATTAAACCTCTAACTCTCCCAGCCAAAGTCAATCTCACCCTCCTCTGAGTATCCATAGCACTCTGAATCCTTTTGATGGCACCCATAACTAAAATACAAATTAAAAAACAGACTTTGTCACTGTTTTGGTAAAGATACAACCCTCTACTAAAGTTTATATTTTCTTTCACTTTGAATTAGCATGATGTGATAAGAAAAGCAACACAAGTAAAGTCAGGACTATCTATTTATGACTGTGTACTTGGAGATCCTCAGTTTTCTTAACTCTAAAACAATGATGCTTACCTCCCTGAAATTTCTGCCCCCATCTAAATCAAGTTGATTTTCCACAGGTAAAGGCTATGCTTGTTTATTCCTTTACAAATTTATGTAAAGTACCACTTTTATGTCTCAGTGTATCTTTTGAGTACATAGTCAGTAAAACTAGATGGATCCCTTAAGGATGACCTTGGCTAAGCCAACTATTCAAACTACTTGTGTACCCAGAAGCAGAGTGATACACATACTCCCTGTTTACTGCAGAAGAAAAAGAAAAAACGCATTTCTGGAAAGGGCATTTCTGTCTGAACGCGCACCACATAAAATCTTTATAGCATGGTCCCTATGAAGATGCAGGTATTTTAAGTTGGCAAATATTCTTTATGTCCTCTGAAGTCATAAGGTATTTCCTGCCATAATTTTTCCAGCTACTAGTCATATAACAGTTTGGTAATTCTTTTCAGGCTGCAATGATATTTAAGATGGCCTCCACTATGTTAAAGAACTGTTACGATTTCCTGCTCCCTCAGATCCCTTGACCATTTCCTTGACACACTTTTCAAGACTACACATTATCAGCATTTGTTTGTTCAATAATTAAAAACTTGGCAAATTATATCAATGAATACTACTGACAAATCATATTTGGACTTATATATTCAGGCCTGATAAATGAATTCACCTAGATGTCTCATAGAGAGCTTGAGTTCAATATACTACTCAGTTTTCATTTTCACTGCTACAAGTAAGCCACCAACTCCACAGCAAGTCCTCCAAGGTCCTGTGTAAGTTTAATTCTCTCAGACCTCTCAGACTTCATCCCTCTTCCGGCACTCACACATACCAAGCTCATTTTCCTCTTAGGGGTTTTGCACATACTCTCAAGTCTGATGGGGATGCCTTTGTACTCAGGTCGTCACACAGCTGATTCCCTAGTCATATTCTGGTCTCTGTTCAAATCTCTCCTCTTTAGAAACGCCATTCCTTACTACACCATCTAAAAATGGTTGCCCTTAGTACATCTCTGTGTCACCTAGTTTTATCTTGTCTTGAATTTCCTTGTTCTTTAAATTTTTGGCTGTTTTCATCTCACTTCTGAATGGTAAGTGCCACGAAAGTAGGGATCTTGCCTATTATGTTCAGTGCTGTATCTCTAGTATCTGGAACAGTGACCAATACATAGTGGTCACTCAATAACATATGCTTAATAAACAAAAGTTTAAAAATGAAAAATAAATTCATCTTCCAATCTTGCTTCTACTAATTGTCCTGTTTTGGTTAATGCTACCCTCACTCTCATTATTCACTCTCAAAACCTTACAATGTCATCTTTTAGGCTACTTCTTTCCCCTTTTACATCCAGCAACTGCCAAGTTATAAAGGTACTACCACATAATAGCATTTGCATTTATCTTACCTTTCTGTTGCCAAGATCATCAATCGCCCTGATCCAGGACGATTCTTATTTCATGCCTTCTAAATTGTCCCTTTCTTCCATCTCATCTTTCAAACTGCTGCCAGAAAAACCAAAAAGTCGTGTTCTGATCATCTCCCTTCCATGCTGAATAACTTTTTTTTTTAAGTTGGAGGCTCACTCTGTCGCCCATGCAGTGGCACGACCTGCTGGATTCAGGTGATCCTCCTGCCTCAGCCTTCCAAATAGCTGGAACACAAGTGTGTGCCACCATACCCGGCTAATTTTTGATTTAATATAGAAACGAGGTCTCGCCAAGTTGCCCAGGATGGTCTCAAACCCCTGGGCTCAGGCAATCCTCTCGTCTCAGCCTCCCAAAGTGCTGGAATTACAGGGTTGAGTCAGTCCCCCTGGCCCTTTTAATCATTCTCCCACTGACCAAGTCTGGCATTCAAATCACTCCACCACAAGTACTCAGTCTTGGTTCACAGACGTCCTCCTAATGGCAGAATCCATTGTGCATTTTCTCAGTGAGCATTACAGGACTGCTTTACTGCATCTGACACCACTGACCATGCTACACTTCTTGAAATTTGACTTTGAGCTAGTTTCCTACATTTTCAGGAACCCCTTTCTTCACTGCTCTGCTAGCTTTAAAAAAAAATGTTTGCGGGAAGTTCCCTTCTTTGCGTGGGCCAGGTCTTCTGTTTTCTTAGTAACCTTTATTTTCCAGTTTTGGGGTTGTCAGTGTTTCTCCTTCTTCATGGGTATAAGACAAGAATCTCGGCCTGAAGATTGTCAATCTGAAGGGCTGGAGAACATCATTGGAGCCAAAGAGTCAAGCACCACAGATGCTGGCTTGCCAGCAGGTGGAGCTGCCTGAGCCAGAAGAGTTTCTGGAAGAAGAAAACTGAATTCCAGAGACGGGGCAAGATGGCGACGGCATAGGTGAACTGCCCTGTGTCTCGTTCTCACCTGATAGATGGGACCAAGACTGCAAACTGCTGAATAGACAGACTGTAAAGCAGAGGGAAAAGTGAACAAAACCAGAAGACCCTCATAAGGAAGAACAGGTCATTGCAGAAGAGAAATAAAAGCAACCCCACCTTCCCTCAAAAACAGAATTGAAGAGGGGGAGGGAAAGGGGTAAAGGGAGAAAAATCTACAGAAATGAAGAAAAACCAAAAGAAGAGTATGGGTCTCTCCCAGACGCCTGGGAGAGCAGACACTGAGAAAATTGACTTTGGAATACAAACAATGAAAAGTCCCCAGAATGAAGGGTCTCAAAATGCAAATGTAGATATCAAAACAATAATGGAGAGACTAAAAAGAATTGAGGAGACACAAGAAGAAACTAGGAAGGAGCTGATATCTGAGATAACAGTAATAAAGAATACTGTGAATGAAATAAATAACAAATTGATAAGCATGGAAAGCAGAATTACCCAAGCAGAAGAAAGAATCTCAGAGCTTGAGGACCAAAATATAGAAATAACCCAAACTCTTAAAAACACAGAAAATAAGCTCAAAAAGACAGAACAAAACCTTCAAGAGATGAGTG